TTGTTAACCCAATATCATAAAGATTTAATCCTGCACTCCTTCTAACAGTTTTATGAGTTTAACTTGTATTCGTGTCTATGATTGACTTTGAGTTATTTTTTAAATATAGTGTGAGAGGTTTAAATTCTCTCTTTTTCTCTCTCTTTCATATAGCTACCTGTTATCCCACTATCATTTGCTGAAAAGACCTTTATTCCCTTTGAATTGTTTTGTTCCTTTTTTCTAAAAACATTTGATCTTAAGTGTTAGAGTTTAATGTCACTATTATCTCATTCTAATATAATAGAATAAAAAATGACATCAATTTAATGATCCATTTAGAAGGAAACTGGATCACTTTTGTTTTTGAAAATAGCACATAGTTACACTGCAATTACATACTATCTCCAAAAATCCCAACTTTTTTCAGGCTCAGGACCTCAGGAGTCCTTTGAATAATCTTGATCTTGCCATAAATTTTTTTTATAACCCACACTTGCGGGTTCTTTATTTTCTTATATGATATTTATTTACTTATAGACTTGGATGTTAATAAAATTTCCAAGCATATCCTGACATATTTGACAAGTAGAGGACAGCACATAGATCGGCCAAACCAAATTTTTTGAAATTTGAAAATTCTATGATCTATTCCAGAAAATGTTATCATTCTTACCATTGATGATTGCATTCCTTTGCAATTCATCTACTATCTCCCCCAAAATCTTTTATTCCAACATTACATTATGTTGTTTTTAAGGTATTTTATGTGATTGACTATATAAAAAAGGGGAAAACAGGACATTTGAAACAACATGGGTGGAGGGGATTATGCTAAGCAAAGTAAGTCAGAAGGAGAGAGGCAAATACTGTATTTCACTTATATGTAGAATATAAAAAAACAAAGGGCAGACAAAACCAAAACAAAACAAAGCCTGGAAATCTGACTTCAGAACTGAGGCTACCAGAAGGGAAGAGTAGGAGCAAAGGAAGGAGACCCAGTGGACTACGGTAAAGGATTGCTAAGGCTTTGATGCTAGGTGTGGTGTGATAATATACATTTGTAGATGTAAGAACATATATCCCTAAAACATATAAGGCATTGTAAATCAATGTTACCTCAATAAATATAATTTTTTTAGAAAAAGAAAATGAACGGTATTTTATACGGTAAGAAAGGATCCAAATTTGAGTTCAATTCCAACTACATTTGTTAAATGCAAATAATTTAATGGAAGGACATATGGTAGCTAATCATCACTCATGCATTGTAGACATTACACTAACAATTTATATTGTGACTATTGGTTGGAGAGTGTCCTTTGACACCTCCCATTTTGCAAAATGTTAATGTGCTAAAAAGAAAAGTGTAACTGGGTCCTCCCCTGTGGTGCAGGGATTAAAGTCTCAGCACTATCAAGCTATCTCCAATCACTGTGGCCTGAGATTGATCACCGGCCTGGAGCTACACACATGACTCAGCAGACCTCTCCTGTCTCTCCCACTGCTTCCCTCAGCAGTGCATTTCAGTAGATCTGCCTGTTCTGCTCCCCACTCTGTCCCTGGTGAATCCTCTCACCCCTGGCACCTCTGGCCTACAGCACTGTTCTTGTGTACATAAATAAATAAAATATAAATCTTAAAAAAAAAAGTATAACTTAAAATCAAGAAAATACAGTACTTTCTTTTGGAATTGTATTGCTCAAAGCAGTTTGTAGAATATGCTTTTCTCCCAAGTAAACTCGCAAAGTTACATCCCTAGTCTTCTGTCAATAGCAGTCCTCTATATGACGTGATTCCTCAGCTGTCCTTGGAAAGTGGAAAGTTCTCTTTGTAGCTTATGGCTGAAATCATTCCTGCCACTAGGTAAGGATTTCTTTTTCTTTTTTTTTTTTATAGAACAGTTAGGGACCCATTTAGACTCATTTTGTGTATGTTGGGCTTATTTTCCCTTTCCATATTGTCTCACCATTTTCCATCTCACAATGATTCTCCTTAATAGAATTGAGAGAAGCTAATACAATGTGTAGTTCAGCTTTTTGTTTCTCCAAAATTGCACCATTGTCCTTGGGCAGCAGGCCTATTTTTCCTCTGCTTTTATGACTTTAAAAAATGACCTAAAGGTATTTTTTTCTGCCATCCACATTTTTTACAATAACTCCCTGACGTCATCCTGATAAGACTGTGCCATCCACTTGAACTTATCCTTGAGGGAGAACTATATGTGAAATGCTCTGTATAGTACCTGGCACAGCAGCAGTTATGTTCACAAGGTCCTTATCATCATCAAAACCGTTATTATTAACTGCTCATACTTCTCTTTTTAGAAAAGGTTCCTTTAAAATCTGAAATATTCTTTAAACAAGAATGCCTTTTTAAGTAGTACAAACCTCTAATAACCAAAGAAACTCTTGACTCTAACCATCATCACTAATTCATCGCTGTAAATTGTTTGTCTGTGTTCCCATAAGAAAACCAGGTTTCTAGTAAAGTCTTTGAAAGAGAAATACTATATGTTCAGCAAACAGGAGGAACAAATTAAAAATTGGCTCCCACTCCTAGAGCTTTAAGTTAGTGCACACTGTTGCTTTCAAAAGATTTTATATAAGATATTTAGACTGGAAAGCTGATCTCACAGGTGTGCACACTGGGTCTACTCAGACTTTGACAAAAGGAGAGAGAGGTATGGCAGGGAATTAGGGCTGGGGGTGTGGGACTTCCTGAGAAACTGTCAGATTTCAATGCCTCCTCAGAACTATAGAGTCATAGTAAACAAATGTAAATTCAAGGTTTAAAAACTCATGATTAGAAGATTCTACCCCCCAGATTGCTCCATTCTCCATGGCTTTCTTTCTTGGTCCTTCCTTGCCATTTGAAGAAGCTGATCTACAGGGCAAAGATACAAGTCACATCTCCATTAATTTGTAACTTATTTTGAATGTGAGATTTTGCTTGCATTCTCTCAGGCCCCTGTTCCTATCCCTCACCACCAGCCTGGAGTCCATTTGTTTAACAGCAATGGGAGGCTTTGATGAAATGAGGAATATCAACGACCCATAATAGAGTGTGGTTTGATTTAGCTCATTGCTGTGAAGTTATCCTCTCTGCCACTGACTTTACCTCTTAAGAGAGCCGGATGTTGTTTGCAGTCATTTCTTTGGGTAAAGGTCCCCAATATTTCTCAGTTTTCTTCTAGGAACTAAAAAGCACTCTCTCCCATCTTTTGTAGAGCCCTTCTCATCATCTTTCCCCCCAGGGACTAAAATGCTGACTTCCAGATTTCTGTCCCTATTTTTGGTGGAAGGAGGTATTATTTCATTTTTGCATCTTTTTTGTTCTTTACGGTTCTAGGTGGTTTCAACTGAAGCATAGTCTCCCATTGCTTGTTATTTTATTTTCAGATGTGTTGCTTTTTGCCAGTCTATCAATATGGAATGGTATCTCATTATGGTTTTAAGTCTCTGATAACAAGTGAAGATTATTATATTTCCATATAATTTATTTCTTCACATTAATTATTTACTTGTAACTTTATTCATTTTTTCTATTACAATGCTTTATTTAGTTTTACTTAATTTTTACCTCCTTATATAATCTTACTAATGTTTTATAATTTTCTTAGTAAAAGTCATACACATCACTTGTTAAAATATATGTATATATTTTATAATATATAGTAATCATATAAACATACATATACATATATGTATGTATGTAAATACATCATACATGTAGAAACACATGTATAAATAATTATTGCTGTTATAAATACATACTTTCAAAAAAATTATCCTGAATATTTGTTGCTAGCATATAGAGATGCAGCTCATTATTGTGAGTTTTATTGATTTTAGTGAGTCCTTTTCCTCATACACTAAATTTATCTGACAATTTTATTAGGCTTTAATATGCGGACAACGATATGATGTTGTCAGTGAACAATATCAACTTCATTTTCCTTTTTCCATCCTTCTGGTTTTTACTTACTTTCCTAGTTTTTTGGACCACACTTGCCAGCACTACCACTACAATTATAAATATAAGCTATGATGGTCATATCTTTTTCCTTTACTACTTTTAAGGCAATATTGGTAATGATTCACCTCATATTTAAAGGAATGTTTTGAGCACTTAAACATCTATAGTCACAAGTCAGTATAGGCAATTATTTTCCAATTCTCATAAAGTAATTGACTGGTTTTCACATCAAGATTTATACTAATTTCATAAAAAGGCATAATGATTATTCTTTTTGTGTAGCCTTTAGAAAATGCTCTTGAATAATTGTTTGATTCACCTATGATATTATCTAAGTCTCTTATATTTGTGAAAAGGATTTAAATTACATATACAGTTTTCTTTCGTGTTCTTAGGACTATTCTGTTTTTTCTAAAATGTTTCTTAAAAGACATAACTTTCTAAGAATTGTCCATTTAGTCTAAATTTTCAAATTTATTGGGAGAAAGTGTTGCTCATGATATCATCTGATAATCATTTAACTTTTGTCATATATTCAACTAAGTCCCGATTTTCCTTCCTAGTGTAATTTATGCTATCCCTTCTTTCTCCCACTTATTATTGTCAAGCCTACTTTATAACTCATTAATTATGTGACATGTTGTCATTAGGATAGGCAAATTTACCAAATGACCCACAGACTTATCTTTTCAAAGAATCATGGTTTGGTTTTATTTATTCTCTCTACTGTATTTATTTCCCCATTGATTTCTGCACTTTCTTATTTTCATCCAGTTTATTTGGCTTTATGTTTTGTTCTTTTTCTAACTACAGAGAAGTTACATTTGTTTCTTCTAGGGACCCTGGAGCATTTAGGATCACTTTAAATTAATTTCCTAGTATTGGTTTCCTGGACTGTACAGGTAGTTCAAATTTAAAACTCTAAATTCATGTAATGACAAGCCTAAGGTTACAAATTCTTAGGGGAAATTTCTTTTTTTTTCCACTGTAAAAACAAATTACTTTGTGGTCTCCATTTTCAGAAAGGCATATATTTTTCTTACCTGCCCTGCAGCAGTCCCCACCTTGCACAGACCTAAGGTCCTATTTCTGTCTTGCATGCAGTTGTTAAAATCATGGTCATATATTTCTGGTTCAGGCAAACAGCTTTAGGGTTGCCTTAGCATAAGGACAAGTTTCAATTCCATCCTCATTTTTGGTCCCTGAGAAGTCAAAACATATTCTTATTTAATGACATGAAAATAATATTTACATTGATAGAAGTAAAAACTATATTCTTTAACTTGTTAAGTTGCTTTCCTGATTTATTTTTATTCACTTTTTATGTATCTGATCCATTTTCATTTTTTCTTAATGACTAATCCTCTTTGAATGAAGCCAATGTTTTGCTGAAGAATAGTCACAAGAGTGATGTCCTTGACTTGGGCTTCCAAACACAGCTGCATTCCTGGAAAGTAACTCTATGAAAATTGAGATGTTTCCCCCCTCTACTGCTGTCTCACCAACGGAAAGCCATGGTTAAGGCACAAGCAGGTTTCTTATAAGTGTTTTTTGAATGTATGAATGGAAACTCTACATGCAACTTTGTTATCTGAAATGCCTTGTCACTGTTTTCTTCTTAGGTGGGTGTATTTCTCTTCAAGTATGGAAATCAAAAAAAATCCTGTCTTCCTCACAGTAAAATTCCTTGTGTGCCAGATTTTTTTCTTTCATTGCCTATTTTTTACTAAGGCTAAGTGACTACAGCAGAGATAATGACCTTTCTGACCATTCTGAGCTATTTGGTCTTATCTGTGTGGGACAATCCTACTTCTAGTTTTGCCCACTGTCTGGAGATCTGTCTCTTTAATTACAGTTTCATTGGCTGGGCTATCATGACTGTAACACTGACTTTTAAGGAAATTTCGATCCTGCTTGAAGTCTGAAAAGACTTGCACAGGCACTCAGTTTCTTCTTGTTTTCATTGGTATGGATTTCTCATTATTTGGAAGCTGCTTTATAATTTGTGAGTTGAGATTGTAGACATATCTTAGTCTTGTTGAAAATGGATCTTTTCCTTTCAATGAAAAAGTTTCTTTTCTTCTTCTATTTTTCACTAATTTGTGATTCACAATTGGGTTTGAGAGTGTGTTTTAACCCTGGTGTCCTCCTCTTTAGAGTTTGATCTACCCACATACCTGCTTCTCAGCCCTCTACCTCTGAGGGTTAGTAGCTTTAGTTAGGGAACAAGAAAATCATTTGGTACTGTACTCCCCATAATTTGTGAATCATCACTTAATATTTCAGTTTTGAAGCTCTGGGAAGAGTTATACAAAAATGAATCCATGATTATGGTAATGTCTGACAGGCAGCTTTTTTGTCTAAATGTGTAAATCGAATTCCTTTATACCGCTGATTTATAAGCTGTACAGTTTTCAAGTGATAATAGATTTGAACTAATGTATAATCTGATAACCTAAGAGAGTATACTGCAAGATAGTAGTTTAGTGAGGAGAGCCATCTGTATTAACATAAAGGTAATTACTTAGGCCATGGGAATCAAACTGATGGTTTTTGGTTTATTAGTAAGTTGTTTCTGCCTAAATGAACCAATCAACCAAAGGTTCAGTTTCCTATTCCATTAGCAATATGCTCTAATATTCAATCCATTTATGTTTCTATCTTCTCAATAAGTATAATGCTTCCAAACAACAAAATATTTATGATACATTGTAAGTTCCTTTCTAATAGCAATGTGAGTATAATTTTTTTCTGCTATATTTACTTTTATCCTCTCCCTAACTATGAGACCAATAGCAATAATAAGCATAAATATTTTTGTCCCCTCTTTTCTAAAATTGTAACAAATCTATGTTCTTTCATTTTAGCCCAATCTGATTCCAATCTAATACTCTCTATAGGTCAAAGTCTAGGAAGTTTTATTTCTTTATTTTTAAGTTTGATAAAATTTATATAAATAAACAAAGAGCAAATCTTGTCAAATTTTTACCACAGTTTCCAGTTATGAAAAGTAACTTGTGTAGAATCATCATGAAAAACATTGTCTGAAATCTTTGACAGTATTACCTATTAGGTAAGTGAAATGTTCTTCTCTGTACACAGAATATTATGTCACTTTAGTGACATTATAACAATTAGTTTGTTATAATGTCTGTTTTAAAATAAAGCAGAATGGTTTCAAAGCTATTGCTATATTAAGAAACAATTTGAGGCTAACACAAATATTGTGCTTATGTGTAATTTTGTTGCAAGAAATAGTAGGTAAACACAGAAACTTGTACCTAGATCAACAGGATGAATAGGGATACACAAAATGCACACACATACACATTTTATTTCTCAAACCTTTGCTGGCTACTTCAGTTTACTGTAAGCTAAGAGCCACCTCAGTTTGTATCTGGTGTTACAACCTTGCACCCCATTTCAAATAAGGCTCCTTCCATCCCTTCATGGTAGCTCACAAGCTGCAACCCTTGCAATGTCTACCTCGACAAGCTAAATTCAGGTTTTTGTCAAGATAATGTACTAGTTAATGTAGTATTTATGTATTTTGTAACCATTTTATGTATAAAACTGTGTTACCAATCTCATTAGGTTCTTATTCTTTTTTCCAATGTGTCATTGGCAGGGATTGAGTGCTGTGGCCCAACCTCATTTTTCACTTACTTCCTGTAGTGTATTGCAATTAAATTTTATTGAGGCAATTATAGATTCACACACAGTTGTAAGAAATAATACACAGAGCCAATGCATCCATTACCCAGTTTCCCTGATAACATCTTGCAAAATGAGCACATTATCATACTATGTTGGTGCTGAGACTGTCAAGATACAGAAGACCTCCATCACCACAGCACTCACTCCTGTTATAAACTCCCGTTTTCCTCTTGGTCTCCTCCATCTTTACTCCTGGCAACTACTGATCTGTTCTCCATTTCTATAGTTTTGTCATTCCATGAATGGTATGTAAATGGAATCTATAGTATGTAAACTTCTGGGGATTGATTTTTTTTTCCACTTAGCATAATTCCCTGGAGATTTAGTAGAATGAATTAGTACATTTGTAGTTTGTTCCTGTTTATTGCTGTGTAGTATTCCATGGCAGGGATGTACAAAAGTTAAGCTATTCAGAATTCAAGGGCATCTGGGCTACTCCCAGTTTGAGACTATTAGAAATAAAACTCCTATAGACATTCACATACAGGTTTTGTGTGAACATAAGTCTTGATTTGTCTGGGATAACTCTAATAAGAATTCAAAACTATTTTCCAGAGTGGATGTACCATTTAATAGTAATGCAAAGTATGAGTGCCCCACTTACTCTACATCCTAACCAGCATTTGGTGCTGTCATTATTTTTCATTTTTGTCATTTTTAGTAGGTGTGTGATGATATTTTATTTTGCATTTCTCTAATGGTTAAAGTTATTGAATATCTTTTCATGTGCTTATTTACCATCTATATGCTGTCTTCAGTAAAATATCTCTACATCTCTTTGGCTTATTTTCTAGCAAGGTTAACTTGTTTATTTTTTCACTGTTACAGTTTCAGAGTTCTTTATATATTCTACATACTGATCCTTTCCCAGTTATGTGGATAGTAAACTTTCTTCCTTAGGCTGAAGCTTGTCTTTCCATGATCTTAACAGAGTTTCCCACAATTCAAAGATTTTCACTTTGATGAGGTTCATCAACTTGGCCTTTGGCTCATGCTTTGGTGTCAAAGTCTAATGGTTTCTGTTGCACAATTTTGCATAGTGTGTGGTTTTCTAGACATGCTTGTGTCACAACATGGCAGAACTCACTATCCTGAAGATAATTCCAAGTAAGAACTATAAACCAGAGACACAGTACAGGGGTTGGAGAGGGATGGGAGAAGGGATTAAGATCAAAATAAGGGGGTGGGATTTGTATGGGGACTATAACCAGATGAAAATGCATACATTGTGCAAAAATGAAAAATGATGCAAAAATATATAAAATAAAATTTAAAAAACATTAAAAAAGGCAAAAAAATAATGAAATGTCAATTAAATTTGGGGTTTCCATTTAAAACGATTTTGAAAAACTGACTTTAAGTCGGATTCCTCGCTTCAATAAGTTTGCAGTGTAGCAATTATCTGCTTAGTTTGACAAACTGATGAACTCAGGGAAATAGATCCCCACACTTTCTAATGTGGAGATTCATTCTGTTCAAAGCAGCTACTAGTCTCAAATATTAGTAGGAAAATATCTGTCAATGAGTTAAGTACTCTTGTTAAAAGATCTTTTTATCTCACTGATTTTCAATTAAGCAAGACCTCTATTACAACAAAAAGTTCAATGTTTCCCAGTCAGCCCCTCAGGAAAGATAGTATTTTGGCTCTGAAAGCCATTATGAAAATTTGACCTTTTTACCTTTTCCTGACCAGGACTTTCCCAGATGCAAATTTAATGGTTTAAATGCTGAATGCTATCAGCCTCATAAAGCATGAAACCTCCGCTCCTCAAAGCAGCAATCATAATTTAACCGGCCAGGCTGCCACTGTGCAGCGGGCTCCAGCCGGGTGCTTGCCAGAGAAGCCATCAAGCCAGGCCGGCTCTTTTTTCAGCTTTCAGGGGTACTGAGACTTGACCTTGAGTTCGATCTCTTCCTTGTAGAGGAAGGGGAGGGAGGAAAATAAATTATGACATAAAACAAAGACTATATTATTTGGTACATATGTTATGGTTTACCCTATTTCATCCTCTGAACAAGGAATTGTCTGCCTTCAACTTTTCCTGGCTTTTAAAATCCCTCTTTATAGTCTGTGCAGTCAACTTAATGAGGACCATTTGAAAAGCATAAGCGAAATGATGTCATTTGGTCTCTCTCTCCTCCTTTTCCCTCTCTAACTACAGGATTTGATCCACCCTGTGCAGGACACAATATGAACACAGTCTCAGCGTTATTAAGGTGAACATTCTGAGTCACTTCGGAGCAACAAACTAATTCCTGCCTCTTCTACCATCCCAGACTATCCTGGATTTATTAAGCACCCATGTGTCAGGCATTATACTGGATATTTTCATTGTGTATGTATTCATTTTACCCTTGCAACAATCTGCAGCGCTCGCTAACACAACTCTGGAAGATTAGTATTAGACTCACCTCATTATATGATACCCAGAGGAGTGCTGGAATCAGGGGGTGCAGGCTTGTAAGAAATGACTGTTAAATTTTC